ATGAAGATTTGAAAGACGATGGTCTAGAATAAAAGAGAAACAAAATAAATATTTATAATTATCGTCAAGAAAATGTGACAAATACGGCTTCTAGCACCATGTATGATTGACCTTCTATTTCTGATATATACATATTGTTTCCTACATTGATGCACTAAAACTAGTCTAATAAGAAAAACAATAATAGGCTGATGGTAGCCTTAAGCAAATAAAGACATTTATATTTTATCATGTTTCTCAACCGATATTCGTTCTATATGCTGAAAAATATCTATTAATGATTGTTTTTTATTATTAGTATGAATAATTTGAAAAAACTAATTGTTTTTTAAAGACTTAGATATATATGCATAGATTTTTGTGTTTGTCTTCTATATAATTTGTCTCAAATAGAATGTTATATTAACATCAGCATGCATAGACATATCTTATACTTGCATATCAACAAATTAGTTTATCGATATGCTATATAATACAACGAACAAATGAATAAAAATTCTATTTAAATGTCAATTAAAATAATTTTGTATCCTTATTAACATTCCATAGATTTTATTCTAAGAATGATAATAGATAATTTCTATGTTAAAAAAAACGATGATTACTGTATATATATATATATATGTATACAAACATATATGCTTCTTATAATTTCTATCTAGGTCACTAATTGATGCAGCATTGCCTGATGCATTACCTCGTGTTAGTCTAATCGGCATAATACAAAAATCGAATAAGCATATGCACAAATGCCCTTGATGTCGAATAGTCTTCTATAATTTATATTTAGATCTGCAATAGAAGAACATTTGATCAAAATGCTTGTGCATACGCATACGCGTGGCTCTATCAGCTTAGCTTGTTCCGTCACAAACAAGCATTAATGGATTGCTTTTAATTCTCTATTGTAGTTGTGTTAACATTTTCCAAATATGATTAAGGCATGTGTACTTTTAATACACTCGCATAAAAAAACAAAAAAGATTTCTTTGTAGCCACCACGTACAGTTAAACACATATTTTCTACATTTTTCATATTTTCCGTTAGACAATAATGAGAGAAAGGAAAAAAAGAATTAATGCGACAGATGCAAGAAATGATTTTGTGGATTGATGAATTTTGTAGTTTTCTCTTCATTTCAGCACAATTAGATCTTCATTATAGTAGTGAACTTTGTATGAATAATATCTACGATTATTTTTTTTAATATTTAGTCGTCTTTTGTAAATATTATATTTCTGTGATTAAAGAAAAAGAAAATGTTTTTCAATACTTAATCGTTTTTGATCGCTAATCGATCACGAGTTCATTCTGGTATTGATTAAAACATGTTAATTACTAATATGATATTAGATAAAATCAAGATCTTATCGTACAAGTTAATAAATTTGCAATATTGTCTTGATTGAGATTAGCAATAAAGTACATCGACCAGATGGTTGTATAATAATGTTAATCGATCACGTAAAAACTATATTCTCCTTATTCTAAATTAACCTTGTCCTTAAGTATGACAGAAAAACGATTCCGAAAGCTATAATTCTGTTGTTAAGTAGTATTATTTCGGACTAGAAAACATGAATCAAACACACGTGCAATAAATATAAGGGATGTCCTATCATGCAGATATAGCATTTTTCTGATGTCTGAACATGCTTGTGTTGTTTGTTTTTGTTTTTTGCCATTCACTCAATCAAATTCACGTAGTCTTTTAATAAAGCTTACCGATTATGTACCATTGCCAGAAAAATTAAATAACATAAAGAGAAACACTTCATCTATTGAATTCGATCTTTTAAAAGAAAAAAAGAAAAAAAAAAAAAGATGACAAACATCATGTTGACAACACTACAATCTAATAGAAATAATTTTTCATCATAGCAGCTAGAAATATCTCCATCGTTATTTCCAAGAATACATAATCAACATTTGTCAAATATTGACAAGCAAATTTTTTTGTCAGAATAAAACGTTTGTCTATTATTCTCGATCTCTATCGTTCTTTCTTGTTGTACACTCTAAATCTTTTCGGATAGTATATAGAGATAGAATCTCCATCTTACCGTAATCAATTGTTGCCTGTTATGAAAGCAAAACGATGAAGTCTAAAGTAAATATATAGAAGAAAAGAACAGAAACTGACTATAACAATAAAAGCAAAAAAAAAAATCAAGAAAGCAAATGCATCCACATAGTAGAGCAGTCATTGCAAGAATAATTAGTAGATCGATCGAACATTTGGGTATTCCTATTGATTGTCGTTTAATTCTTGTTCTTTTCTTTTTTTCCTCATTTCTCGGTGTCTCTTGTTTTTCCATCTTGTATTACTCTCATGCTCCAGAGAATGAATGCAAGAAGAAAAAAAAAAAGTGTTGATATATTCTTGTACGACATGTAAAATCAAAAAAACAAAACCATATCAATATTACTTGAGTTTATGATAATATGTTAATATTCCTTCGAGATTATACAGAAGAAAATTAATTAATTTTCATAATTAATCATAGTTTGCATTTTCCCGTTTTAGAGAAAATATATTTGATAGATATATGCAAAAACATTTGTTAAGATTTTCTTTATAAATATACTTTGCTTGAGAGAAGAATTCATTTATGAAATAAAAATTAAAAAAAAAAAAAGTAACTTTTTATCTTCAAGCAAATATAGATTTCTATTGTAAAATGTATTTCATTTTAATTGAATACTTTTTTATATAGAATGTAATTATATGAACTTAGTATGACATTTGTTTTTTTTTTGTAAAAACAAATATTAATGCATTTTGTTTTACTGATTGTTTTTCGAGAAGATTTTAATAAGAAATATATGAGTTAACCAAACAATTAGTCAAGTTTATTTTTTTCGCATATACGTATGTTTTTTGTTCGTCATATGGAATATGTCGAATATTCAATCATCCATTTTTCTGTAAACAAGAAAATAAACAAGGAATAAAAGAACTATTACGATGTATAATTCATGCGATCTTGATTCAAAGAATAACTGTTTTATTTTAATTTTTTGTTTCATGAAAAAAAAAAATTTCGTTCAGTTGTATGAACAACATGTTGCTGTATTTTTCTGTGATTCATACAAATATTTATCTTAAATCAGATGTTATAACTAATGAGGTGATTCAGTACAAAAGAAGTCTTATATTGTATAAATAATTATACGAAACAATATATTTAAGTATTCAGCAAAAGCATTATATATCTAGTTTCAATATTATCACTGTTATTAAAATCTAATATGTTTAGGAAAAAAAAAACGGATGAGTCACATATTAATATGATGATCAACATATTTGGTTAACTATTTTGTCAATGTGTGTCCTTGGTAATCGTATAGAAAAACAGCTGCATGTTATTATCAAAGAAAGTTTACTTAATGGTATTATAATGTTATCTTTCTGAGAGAAAATTTCCATTTTATGAATTAAATAAAGAAATGATTTGTTTATTGAAAAATTAAGTTATTTCTATAGTGATTAGTGAATTGTTTATATTTAAAATCTAAAAGCAGAAAAAATCTATTAATTTTTCTATTCATTCATAATGATTTATTATTCTGTCATACTGTCACATACAAAACGTCTATCAATACATTTAATGTTGATATCCCAGATTTTTCTACCTCGACCGTCTCTATCAATATCTATTTCAGGATAACATCTCATACATAAAAATGACCCAAAAAGTAAATATATATATATTCAAGTATGTTACATAAACAAAGCTTATTAGTAAGGATGTTTGTTCATTCTCTTTTAGGGATAACTTATAACTCAACTTATCATTGATAATTATTCGTTAATCATGAGTAGACATTAGTTAAATATGTACAGACATGAGAATAAAAAGAAAAAGGGGTTTTACTAATTAAATGAAATATAACATTTAATAGAAATATTAATGATGACAATTCTGATTGTTGTACCATTTTGATAGATTAAAACACTAAAATGAATTATGTGCACGAGAAGACAAGAGAAAAAACTCGCATGAAGAATTGATTAATAGGTCATGTAAATTGACACTATCCTTTCCCCTTTGTCATAGAAGACCTTTGATTAATGATTTAATTAGTTTAGAAATTGGAAGTCAAATTATCATATTTAGTGCAAAATAGGTCTACTTTTCAGGATTCTCACTTGAAGATTAAATACCCTTTTAAACAAGGAAAAAAAACGAGGAATCTGATTGAATACATCCCTGGAACATTTGTCTGTTTGAACATAATAGAATAATGAAGGTCTTTGATTATAGGAGAGAAATACAATGATTATTTAAGATTTTCTATTCGAAATAATCTGATCACAAAACATTCTATTTTCAATAGTTATAGAATAACGCTTGTTGATATTGAAATGAATGTCGCAATGCTAAAAGAAGTCTGAACAATAAATTCTAGTAGTTGATCATGAAACTCAATTAACATATAAAGGGAATTGATAATATGATTATCATTCTCGATGTATTAACAAAATTTAACGATCGATTGTAATGAAAAATATTCTTCGTGTTTTTTGTTTGTTTTTAAACTTGATCTAACGCTGTGCATAGATTGTACATTAGAAAATTTAATATCATTTAAAAATTCTTCTCCCATCTATTTAACCTAATTCAAAATAAATTGTGCTCAATTGATTTTAGGATAGCTTTTGATAGGTGAGTTTCGATTTCAACCAATTGATCTGTGATCACACAGAACAGCAACGAGACAGTGGTACTTCATCGTACTGAGTCAAATAGTGACATTTGTGTCGAGATTCAAAATGATCTGAAACTATTATTTTTCATAAATAACATGTTGACTTTTCAATAAACATGTTTTATTTCAAAATGTATAAATATGTTTTCCAGTATTATTGCTACTATGAAAACGAATGATGAATAACACAATCACAAATAGAACTGAGACAAAAAAAAAACGAAAAAAAAAAATAATCTTAACATTTGATTAACATCAAAAACAAAATAGAAAAGTTTGTTTTTCTTCATTCGTCATCATCATCACCATCCGGTATAGCAGGTGGTGATAAAGATGTTGATGTTCGTGAAGCATTTGTAGAACAAGAAGAAGATGATGGATGTGAATCATTCTTATATAAAAGTTGTAGTTTTTCGGTATATTCAGCTTCATATTGAGCTGTTTTAGCTTTTTCTTCAATAAGAATTTGTTCATAATATGATGTTATTTCAAAATTTTCTAATTCAGTCATTATATACTGTTCATTTAATGCTTCATTTTCAAGTTTAAGTGATTCATATTCAACTAATAACTTAGAATATTCTAAAGGACAATAAAAGAAAGATTAATAAATGATATACAAAACAAAATAATAATTATTTGACAAGAAATATATCAAGACTGAAGAGAATATTAAAAATAAAGATCAAATGTAAGAATGATAACCTCATTTCTTGAAAACATATCATACCTCTGAGATTTTCTCTAAATGCTAAATTTCTGCATTTGAAAATTACATTTCGAGACTATGTGCATTATATAGACGCAAATAAGCTATGAATACACTAAAAAGAGATCATGTCCTTAGCTTTTTCCTGTAGAGATACTGCACTTTTTAGCAGTTCCTATCCTAAAATACAGCTATGGATAAAAACATGTCTTGTACATCATTCATAATCTAACAGATTTGATATTCATTATTTCAAAATAGAAGCAAATCGAAAGACCTGAAACTGTCATGATAAACTACTCTCAGTGAGGTCTGTCTCTATGCCAAATTTCAAGTCAAAATTTGAAAACAGTTTTTTTCCTGTAAAAAATACTACAAAGTGATAGTATCTCCTCAATCAAAAAGTGATTTATCACTTTGGCTGTCAAAATTTAAAGCTAGTTTAGGAAACTGTTTACCGAAACATCACTTGTACGAATGATTATCAGTTTTCTCCAACAACTTTAAAAAGATTCAGGTAGGTGCAGTCTTCCTACACAACCATCTGAAATCGCTACTAATAGAGATACAGAATGATTAATGTTGTTTTTTTGAAAGTATTTATTCACATGAGTAGAGGATTGATATGGACGAATTTTAAAAAGAAGAATGCATTCCATCACATATGTGTCTTATGATTATGATATGAAAGCGTCTCAATTGTGATGAATAATCGTCTGTAAGTGTGTGAAATTATGCACTAATACTCAACGGAACTGATGTTACCTATACATATATATTTAAAATCTTTATTTTAATCCGCGAATGCATTTAACGATATTAATTTATACCAATATTAGCTCTCATGTAACATCCTAATCATTCGAGAATGATCGATTTGATTCAGTCTCTGATAAACTCTAATTAAATTGAAAGTTAAATTTGTTGTTCAAACAGAATAATTGATGCTGTATGACAAATAATTGTTTCTGTTAGTTTTGCTGTTCATGTTAAAAAGTTATGAAAACAGATTACAAATCTTATGGAATAAAAAAAAAAATCATCAAAATCAACTTAAACTAAAGAGAATAGATATAGAACTCTAAAATGGTTTCGAAAAAAGTCCTCACTCGATCTCTATTTCTAATTAACGGCAGTTTCTTATGTTGAATATGACTTTTATTAATTCTCGCATACTAAACTTCTGATTTTAATTGTAATAAATATTTACCTTGTTCAAGATCTTGTTGTAATTGATGAGTTTTATCAGCATTTTCATTAAGTTTTCTTAATTGTTCACAACAATCATCTTCAAGTTGTTTTCGTTTAATATTAAAATCTTCAATAATTTGTTTTAAAAAATTTTGAAGTCGATGAACTTCTTTTTCAAGTTCATGTTCACTTATTAAATCAGTCTTTTTTAGAAAACTATTATTTTTTAAATTTAATTCAAAGTTCAAAAATTTATAATCATCATCAATATCAATAGAATCTTGTTTTATTGATGAGTTTTCTTTTGACGAATATTTTTTATTCATTAAAATTTTATTTGCTGAAATACATTTCATGACATTTAATTCATAGTCATTAAAATAATGTGGTTTATCAAGAATGATTCGATCGACTTGATCTAGAATGAATATATCTATTTTAATCAATCAAATATGGTTTTAAGTTTTCTTACCATAATCAGCAAATTCAACAAGAATATAATCAAAATTTACTTCATGACAGTATTTACAAGCATATAAAGTACCATATGAAGAAAAATATTCACGTAAACCTTTCAAGAATTTTTCATCAACATTGATAGATTCAACAACAATCATTAAATCACGTGATGAATCTATATGTTCACGCGGATAGTCGGCATTAAATTGTATAGCACGTTTAACATATCTAAATTAATTAAGAAGAGAAAAAAAAAAGAAACAATTTAATTAAAAAATTTATACATATGAAAATATTTACAAATGTTGACCATCAAGTCGATGTGGACGACTAGCTAAACATCGATCAATACTTTTACGATTGATATAGGTAATAAAAACATAACCACCGCCATCTGGTGAAGTGAAATTGTAATGATCTATAGTACCAAATTGTTCAAAATAAGTTCTAGAAAAATATTCAAAAATATTTTTACTGAATATAGAAAATCATGATTCTCACAATAAAGTATGAGGTTCGGTTTGATAACTAACATTACCAATACAAATTTCTAATTGATTTGATGCAATATGTCGACGATAAGATGACATGATTAACTAACACATCAGAAGATTTGATAGTGAATGGGAAATCTGAACTGAAAAAAAGTAGTATATCGATGATTATATAGATTAAAGAATGGCCATATTGACTGACTAATCGGACATTAGTAGAGGCACCACATGTATATGTTTCATCATTATAAAGATAGAAATGTGTATAAGCTATTCAGTTACATGATGACCCAAGGTTGAACAACGTCCAAAAACGAACATATTACTATTTTATCATTGATATCGGGTTTTATGATAAGTGTGAATCGAGATTATGATTATCATGAGTGATTAGGAAATTCATAACGTATATGAACTATTTCTGTCGAAATAAGACGTATCCACCTTTTATTCTTTACAAGAATTATATTTTTTTTTAGAAAAGAATTAGTGAATATCTCTCTAATCATATGAGAAAAAGTCTAAAAACTTCAGGATAGACTCTAAGACACGAATCGCATATAGACTGAAGTTTTCAGCTAGGTCGGAACTCAAAAAAACTTCTTCCAAAAAGACGGTTTTCTAGAGAGTCTGAAGAGGAATTTTCACATTGTATAATCGGTTTTGGATTTCTCATTCCTTTATGAAATCATTTTCTTTGCTTGTTAATGCGTACAACAGCAAATCGCGAACGAAAACTAGATCGATTTTTTGTTTATGCTTTTCATTCAGTGTATGTTTGTTTGAATTGGTTGTTTTAACTTCTAAGAAGATTTCTTAAGTCTCTGTGAGACTTAAAATTTTTTACTGCAGTAAACTATAGTTCTGCTACATTTTCGAAACATGCTCCGGAGCTTTGAACTGAGAATATTTGTTTCAATGTTCCTACTAGTAAGTTCTTTTCCTAGCTAGTATTTTTTTCTATTTTTTTAACATGAATAAATATGCCTGGACACACATACAAAGAAGAAAGACAAAACCTAAAAAGCACTAGCAACTGTAAATGTCTGCCATCAATTTTTTTTATAAATTCTTTCTTGTTTGAAAACACGTAGAATACGTATGGATTACCATCATTAAATTTAATAATAACCAGAAAAATCGAAAACATAACAAAAATTAAAGATATTTGGAGAGATTCATCATTCGACAAGTACACCAAAAGTCAAAATCAAGTTTGAATTCTATGCAACCGCTATCTGATGTTTGTATTATTGAAATAATTGTTCTATTATATAAACTAGACACAGTACCAAGAATCAGGTCTTCGTAACAACGTTACATTTATTTACCACATACCAATAAGTGTTTACGAGGGAACACCTCCAGATGAAGCTCCACTTTTGACGTGATATTTTGCTCATATATAGCCCTTAGTGATACTAGAAAAACGTCAAAAGGGTTTTGGTTTCTATGGCTTCCTTGTTGGTGTGGGTGTGGATGATAAGAGGATACACACACATACTCTTTTCTTATCTTATTATTGCAATTAATGGTATTTTTCAGAACGAATATTTCACTCAAGTTAAAAATTTTAGTTAAAACATCTGGTTAACTGTTGTTATCAACAAAAGTCTACGTCGCACATTCATCAGTTTCAGGGTATAGATAGATTTATTAATTTCGTCTGACGCAGATCTTTCAATAAATTAGAAGTGTTATATAATATGAGGTTCGAATGGAAACACCAGAATAAAACTATGATAGAAATGTATTAAACCAGAATGTATACTTAACTATATACTTACTTTTTGTGTAATATGTGTTTTATATAAAGAATAGAAACTATAAAATAGTGCTGATTGACAAAAGTACAATCAATTTTGCTTGAGAACAATGCAAATGCAAGACGTCATTCAAAACAACTTTCTCATTTAAGTTGATCAAAACAATTTAACATCACACATAAAGTATCAATAAAATCCTTCATATTCTGTATATACGATCGTTTCAAAATGAGTTCTACTCTCAGCGTTTTAATGTTGCTTATTTAGGCATTCATTTGATAGTGCAAGCGGATGCAATCATAGACTAAATATTTTTTGTTCGATCATAACTATAACCATCCATACAACAGGAAGACACACATAACTAACTTTCTCTGTTTCATTGAATGAGTATTTTTCGTTCGACCTTATTGGTTCTTGAATAAACAGATGGAATAAACAAGAAAAAAATTATTACTGTAATGCGAAGAATATTAACAAATACTTCAAAGAAAATTTAGACTAAAATTCATATCAACAAATACAACTCCTCTTGTCACAAATAATTATCTTCTGAAACGATTATAAAAATAAAAAGAATGAACAATGTTATGCGGATAATAATAGCTACTAGTTCCAGTTTATTGATCTAGAAGTACAAATGACAAACTAAATTTGTTAATCTTGGTTAATTGCCCATTTTTCTTTATCGCACTGATATGATATTACGGTTCTAAAATAATATTTCGATTACTATTGAGAATTTTATCGGTGTTCAATGTATGGTTGTTAGCTCGATGGTACGATAGTTTTCACTTTTGGTATTCAGTAGATATATTTACTATTTCTTTTCTTGTATGGCAATTCAGTTATCTGATATTTCAATGGTGTTTTCATAAACTTTCATATCCTTTTCTAATTCTTTATCAAACATCAATATGTAGATTAACGGCTATTGAAGCATTTATGTTTTACAATCTGTTTCTTCGCTATTTTCTTTTAATTCATCTTGTTCTGATATGGTTTGCTTCTTTTGCTGGCATATAAGTAAATATTTATGTATTTCGAAATATATTCTAAAAACTATGATATTAGTATATAGCAATAGCGATCAGAGATGTTGACGGGTCACGAGCTTACGGGTTTCGCGGGTCAGATTATATTTTTCCGTATACTCGCTAGTTCAACCAGGTTCGATCCGTTTACAAACTTTGTATTTCATTCTTTCCTTGCATCTAGGTTTATGTTTACTATTCACACAATTTCTTCGCTCTTCTAGTGACCTATTTACTACTATTTCTTTCGTTCTTCAGCACCCAGATTCATTTGACAATTTTTTTCCTTACGTAGTAGTTCTAGTCATTCATCTATTTATTTGAAAGCAGGTTCACATGACGAATGCCACAAAATTTCTCTGTTGATTTGACCTTCAATCTAGTACCATGATTGAGCGCTTTAAAAACTTGATTTTGTCTTTCAAAAAGAGAAATGTCTAGTGCAAAAATTTGATGAAAGAATTCGATTAATTTTTTTCGAAAATCAGAAATATTTTAAAGCAAAAAGCTTCAGAAAATTTCCACTATTGTTTTGCACGCACAAGAGATTGCATTGAATTCATTAAATCGATTATATATTTAATCGATGAATTTAAATTGCATAATTTAGATACATGTCATTGTTACTGTAAAAAAGAATACAAAATCCCTATATATGTTTTATAACAGTCAAAATAAACGTTTTTTACGATGTTCTCTAGTAACAGTGGTTTTCATCTCTGTCAATTGCAGTGGAAAAACGGAAGTCTATTTCGAAAGAGAGATTGTCAGAAGCTATATATTTTGTACGATAAAGGAAGACTATAGAGTCTTCTGCCAAACAGCCTTATTTGGAGCACAACGGAAGTTTTCTACATGACACATTCAATCACGCAACTTTTTGATTTTGTAAACTCCAAAAGCATAAAATACTATGTTCTACCCACATCGTCTACTAACTATTCTCTTATATGCTAGATCAATCATTTCAACATTAAACGAAAGCCTTTATTGTAATGCACAAATGTACATAAACAATGTTTGAAAAGTCCGAGAGTGAATAATAAAACAGTTTAAAGAGATATATTTGGGTAGAAATATTATAACTAAAGTTGCACGAGAGTTTTTCAGACTTTTGATTTTTGAATATTTGTAATATTGAATAAAAAAATTTTAATCAAGTTCCGTCATGAATTTTTACATCATGCAATTCGTTATTTCGGATGACCAAAATAAGTGTACGATATTCCATTACAGCAATCTATCAAAAACAAAACCATCACAGACCTTTTGGATTATCTGCTATGCATGTACTTTTCTCTCCATGTTCGTTTATGGGATGTGGGTGAGAATAAGAGCAACAACCCAAAACACCCTCAAATAGTATCTGCTTTATTAATTTTTTTTTCATGATCACGTTCTGCAACTTTTATGTTACTGTTTTTTCTTCCGAACTTTAGTTCAACTTTTTAAATACTTATGTCTCTACTCAAAAATCAAAGATAATATTGAAATTATAAAACCTCAATTCCACTAATAAATAAAAATCCCAACATACCAGTAAAAAAATAAGCTGGTAAAGTTTGTATTAACCTTCGGGTTAGCCTACGAGCAGCCTGTGACAGGTTGATAAATCTTCAACCCGTAGGGCAGCCCATGGGTCGAAGAAAAAAATTCAACCCATCAAGCGGGTCGGGTTCGACCTCCGACCGATCGAGTCAAAAAAAAACAGCGACCAACATCTCTGATAACGACTGATTATTTATTATTATTAAAAGATTTGTTTCTCATGCTTTTGAGAAAAAATAAGGGCTTCGTTTTTTTCGATTATATATTTTATCTGTTTGGTTTTTTATATAGCTTTGCTTGTTTGCATATTCATGGTCGATTCCGTAATTTGATGAAAAATACTTCTATGAGTTATGGAATGTCGACATATCCAACATTTTCGATCTTTTGCTATTATACTCATGACATTGAAGATGAAATAGATGCGATTAAAGGTTACAAAGCTTTGGGAGACGGTGATTTTTTGTTATACAATCTGCTTCTTCTATGGACATTATCACCAATATCATCAACAACACTACAAATATGTGTACTTTTTGGTTTCATTATCAACTTTCAAATTGGTATTATGCTCACAGATTGGATTGGATCTCTTTGGAAAGAATACCGAATGCCAGCTTTACCTCTTCTTGTAATATTTATTTCAATATATGTTCTAATTGTTGATTTTATTCTACAAAGCTTAGTTATAGATAATGTCAAGATGTTACATTGAATAAAAGTAAATAAACTCAAATCTTCGAAAATA